ATCTCTGTAATAATTCACTCGACTCATCGACTACGGACGTACTAGGCCACTACGCCGTAGTCCCCAAACGATACAGGGGAATCCAATCCATTGGACCTGTTTGTCCTCAGTTATCGTGTACCTATAGTCTCTCATCCATCTAATATCCCAGAGACCGTATATCAAGCATGGTGCTGTCAGACCTATACGGTTTCTACTCGAGTCTCGCTCTAATCGGATTCTCCCAAAGAACTCTTTCTCTCTCAACCCGAATGACCCTGGCTAGGGATTTGTCTGAGCAAGAACACATGGGATATTCCTCTCATGACGCCGAAAGCGGATGATCCTCTATCGACACTCAATAGCCCTCGTAAGGTCGACTACCACTCCCAATGACCAACTGTACTAGATCTAGGACAACCAAACCTATAAGTCTGGTATCAAAGAGTGGAGCACTCATACAGGACATCCTTGGTGTCTCAAGTCTAAAGACCAGATACACCACTAGGACTATGGAATCACTATCTGACAATAAGACATCATCAACCATCCAGCATTCCGTAAGCGGATCAATCAGTGAACTCATTTTCCAATGAGCACCTGTACTGTATCCCTAGTGTCCCTACATGAGCAGCTATGAGACCAGCTGCATCCATCATATGGACGGGTATACAGCATACCAGTCTATCCGGTTATCACGATGTCCCTCTCGAGTAACCTATGACCGAGATTATTTAGGATCTGTGTTTAAAGGTGAATCGATCTCATTATCGTGATCTCATCACTATCCGATTCTCATTACACAAATCCAAGGACATCACAATATATATATGCATATATGCAATAGTTATAAAGTGATATATACCAAAATATAATAAGAAAAAAGATTCTGTATCAAGTCACACGTGTCATTACTCACATGATTGGCTTGCTGGGCACCTATGACTAGCATCCTCTTCGTCACTATTAGATTCTAAACTACTCTAATAAGGGTGACAACCTTGTCCTTGTCCAATTTGGGGGGTGAATCGATATTGTTAATGCCTTGAGTTTTTACTTTTGTGGGCACTCCCTCACTATATGAAGTTTTTGCATAAGAAGTATTTAATAGGTTTTGAGGCCTTATATTTTGAGCTTGGCCTTATGTAGAAACTAATTTTTTTTTGCTCACTTTCAGACTCCTTCCCTCAATAATACTTGAATATGCAGTTTCTCAAAGATTGTTTTTTCTTTCTTGAGTCTTCTGACGAAACAAAGTCAACGAGTCTTTTCACAACTACATTTGCCCTGATCACATCGATGACATCCCTTCGATGCAATTCTTGTTATGCCCACAACTTCAAGCCATTAAGGAAGATGAATAGCTTATCCTTTTCAGATATGTTTTGTGTGTTCAACATCAATGTAGAAAATTACTTTATAGAGTCCTGAATGAAAGTACTTTGGTAGAGCTGTCTCAACTTTCTTCTTGTGATGAATTCCATGTTCTCAGGTAAGAACTGATTTCTCAACTCCTACCTTAAGTCCTCCCATATGTCCACCCAACCCTGGCCTTGTTGGATCTCTTTTCAATATGTTCATTACCAAATATTTACATTCTCATTCAGATATATAGTTGCTATTGAAACTTTGATTTTTTTCATAATTGGGCCTTATAGCTCGAAAGTACTATTCCATATCAAATAAAAAAATTTTAAACTCTTTCGCATCCCTAGCACCCTCGTAGCAATGCAGCTCAGGTGACCTTAGGTTTTGTGGTGGAGTAATATGGGTATTGCTCCCTCCTAAGTTAAGAGCCCTCTTGAGCAATGTAAATCTTGATGTGAGTTCTACACAACTTTATATAGGTGTTGCTTGGAGTTTTTGGTGTCTTCTATTAATCGATCGACTAGGGACTCGACCTTGTTGATCTGCGATTCTACTTTCTCTTGTGAGTTATTTACCCTAAGAAGCCTTCGTTAGCCTCAGTAGAGTTCTTCTAGACTCACTTTAAGAACGTCAAGGTAGGTTTCCGCAGTTGTAAATCTCTCCTTATGACTTCTTTTCCTAATTGGTGCTCTGAATTGCGCTTCCTCTATTCATAGAGAATAGCCAACTTCTCGCTCGTCTTGTTTATTGTCATGCTCCTCTTAAGTAGCTCTAATAGCTTGAGAGCAAGTTTACACTTGCAACCCACCTGCAATTACTTGCGGTAATAGTCCGGCTTGCCCCATTTTGCTTGATTCGCCATGATACTTTGTCATGGCAAAATTACGAAACTTTCGATATTTGCTTAAATTGCTTACCTGTTCTCATACTACAATGTTATAGACTTAGCTGAAATTGCCTAAATCATGAGACACCTTTGTGATAATATCACGGACTTAGTTGGAATTGCCTAAGTCGTGAGGTACATTTGTGCTAATATCACGGACTTAACTGAGATTACCTTAGTCGTGAGACACCCTTACGTTATCTATCCATAAAGGACCAACCTAGTGGCAACCTCACTCAAGTCCTAAAGGACCTATAAAAGAGTAAATTAATTAGTTCAAAAGCGAGTGATAAACAAGTCTCAACATCACACGAAGAGGACAACTTTATAAGTAATTTCATAAACACTCAATGTGTAAGAGAGAAAAGATAGAAAGAAGAAAATACGAACTTTAAAAGACAAACGAATAGTCGCAAATCTATAAATGACTACTCACTATGTGCTAGATGCGATAGCAAGTTCTTGTAGGCTGAACGTAAGAACTTGTGAATTTAATCCCAATACTACCTCAAACTCTTATCCAACCTTGTACCACTTAGGAGGTTCCAAGGTACTAATATGGTTGATGTTTTGCATCGCACTATAACCTACAGAAATAAGCCATGATACATGAAAACTAGATCATTTTAGGGTAATTTTGTATATATGGCGAGTAGTCGCTCTATAGTGTTGCAAACTATTCATGCTCATAATGTTTAATTAAAATATATAAAAATAAGATAAAATATACTACCAAATATCTGTATAAACAATAAATGATTCATTGATTAATATACTCACAAAACCTCTCAAATTTAAAATATTTTAATAACTTCAAAAAAATTTGACATGCTAAAGCAAACAAGTTTATTATATCAAGAGATAAAATACTTCACACATCTCTTATATAAGAAAGATTTATATTGAATATAATAAATATAATATATACATAGGACTATATAAATATCATGAGACATAAAAGATATATTTTTAAAAAAATTATAATAAATTTATTTTGAGTAAAATAATAAAAATACTTTGTCTGATACCTTTTATCTTTTCTTCTTATCTATTTCAACAGTTTTTCCCTGTTGAGTTTCTCACCGAAGAAATTGATACAGTAGTGATATGAGCTCGTACATGTATGATAATTATAGGTCTTTGGCTTTTCTTTTCTTGAATACTACTACTGCTACTACTTGCGTTTTTTCTGCTCTTCATGTTGTTGGCAAGTGAAGTTGACAGATCGGTAGTGGAAGGTCAGTTGTCAGCCACCGGAAACCATGGCCGTCGGTGGATTGTTCGTTCTCCTGTTGATAGCAGCCCATACTAGCAAGCACTAGCTGTAGATAGACATGGGTTTTCTAACACTTAAATTGTAATGAATATTGAAACCTGTCTTTTGCTATCTTATTTATTCTTCGTATGTTGACTGCTCTCTAACATCTTCAGTTTAGTATAGTATGGTAGGATTAAGATAATATCGATAGGAGAAATATTTATCCCGATATCAACAAAGAAGAACGGATCTCAACCAATAAATACTAGTCTCATAAGCTGAACCACAATAAAAAATCATAAGGAATATACAATATCATTAAATATTCTCTTGGGTCAAATTTATCTTAAGACTACTGTTACAAATATCGTCAAACACCCCATCTCATCTAGAACTTCCCAAGTCACTTTCTCGATCACATCCAGCTCCTCACACACATGATTTCGGATTAATTCGAACACCACCAGCATCCATCTTACCAAGTGTAGATTAGCAAATGTTGGATCAGTTTCGTGTGTTTGCAACAACATCTTAATGCAACTTAAATATGTTTTGTAGTTCCTGTTAGTATATCAATTCTTTGTGATTAGCCATGGAATATGGTTGAACAGTACCTGTCACATCTTGAATGCTTGGGATCACTTGGGCTAGCCAACCCCTAACCTACTTGTCATTTCTTGATGTCTATGTTGGCCATGGATGCTTCTTAACAGGTAAATTGTATCTCTTGAATGCTTGCTATCACTAAACACAGCCACCCACTGACCTACCTGTCATTTGTTGAAATATCATTGACACTGGATTATCCGATGTCTTAAATCTTCAAATCAGTTCAAACAAGTTGTCCAAACTTTGTAAGATATAAATATTTTGTGACAGTTAACTAATTTTTCATGATTCATCAGACAAGTTGCATCACAAATGAAAATATCATCCATGAAAACAGTGATGACTGCATGAGACTTCACTTAAAATAGTTAACAAAATAAATAAATTATTGTGTGACAACTTATCAATCTAATATCAATGGCTCATCTTCTTTTCAGCTCAGATTTACATGCAGATGGAACAGATTCCATACTTGCTAGAGGTCACTCTTGTTTCCATCATAATTTGGATGAAAGGCATGTCCACTTCATTATGGTACGATGTCACACTCAACTATACTTAATCCAGAGGAATCTACTACCTTCTCTTCATTCTTCTGAAGGATTTTTAGGAACCACAGGAGAGCAAAAGCCCCGTGAATGTCACAGATAAGGTCTACGTTTCACGAACACTAAACATACATATCTGCCTCCTCAAATGAAAGGGATTTAGATGAGAGACAAAGGTTGACAGCCCAGCAGTAGCTGTAGGCACTGAGAACACCACCAGTTCCCAACCATGCACGCGTCCTCGCTTGTCCAGTTTTGGTTGGCCATCCAATCTTGAAGCTTGACGTCGTACCTGCCACATCGGATAACTCTCAACTCTCTTCTCATCCATTACTGCATTCCTTGGTCAAACTTTGGATGCTGTAAGTTGGATGTGTGTACACGAGTCTTCGATGGGAGTTTGCACGCACAAATGCTTCGGAGTTGTTGCCAATGATTCCAAAGGTTTAACAGGAAGACACTGTGATCCATGTTTATCACGTAACTATGTGAAAAGGATGAGAGTGAGCAGAGATATTCCTGTTTGCATCACCAATTATGCAAGCTCAGAAAGAAAACGATGGTAGCCGAACCATGCAAACACCTCTCTCAGCCCATGCATATCTTCTCCACACACTATATATACCTCCTACTTCTCCTTACTCCCGGCCACAAGACTCACTGTTGTGTTGCCTCATCATACTTTCTACTCTGAGACATGGGGAGACTGGTTCTGTTTCGAGCTTGGTTCCTCGCGGCCCTCGTCGCCGCCGCGTCGGCTAACTTCTTATCGGACGTGGAGATAACATGGGGAGACGGTAGGGGGAAGATACTGGAGAGTGGCAACCTTCTCCAGCTCACCCTCGACAGGGCCTCCGGCTCGGGATTCCAGTCCAAGCAAGAGTACTTGTTCGGGAGGTTCGACATGAAGATGAAGCTGGTGCCGGGGAACTCCGCCGGCACCGTCACTACCTATTACGTAATCCATCTCTCTCCCACAGCCGACGATGGTACAGTTGTCTCTGTTTCATGTGTGCTCAAGGTTGATTCTTGTGTGTGCAGTTGTCGTCGCTGGGGCCAACGCACGACGAGATCGACTTTGAGTTCCTGGGGAACGTCAGCGGGGAGCCGTACGTCCTCCACACCAACGTGTACTCGCAGGGGAAGGGTGACAAGGAGCAGCAGTTTTACCTCTGGTTCGATCCCAGGCTGGCTTTCCACACCTACTCCATCCTGTGGAACCCTCAGCAGATAGTGTTGAGTACCGCGACACTTGAGATTTAGTACACGAAAGCTATGGATCATCAGCTCTAATATATGGCCATGGCTGATGCTTTGGTCTGCAACCGTCTGCAGGTTCTATGTGGATGGGACGCCCATAAGAGTGTTCAGGAACAGCGAAAGCTTGGGGGTGCCCTACCCAAAGAGCCAGGCCATGCGCCTCTACGCCAGCTTGTGGGACGGCGACGACTGGGCCACCAGGGGCGGCCTGGTGAAGACGGACTGGAGCCAGGCGCCGTTCGTGGCATCCTACCAGGGCTACGCCGCCGACGCCTGCGTGTCGTCCGCCGGCCGGCCGTCGTGCTCGCCGTCGAGGGGGAACTGGTGGGACCAGGGCCTGGACTCCGGCGCACTTCAGAAGCTGAAGTGGGTGAGGGACAACTACATGATCTACGACTACTGCCGCGACACCAAACGCTTCCCCCAGGGGTTTCCTCCCGAGTGCTCCTCTCCACGCAACTGATGCCTGCGACAACCAGTTTGCTTGCTTGCTTGTTTGCACATCTCGCATTTGTTTGATGAAGGAAGACGGCACCCGTGCATTCATACATATATCAATCATGTACTAAAATAATCTGCTGCTTATGTAAGTAACAGATAGTATAGTATGTACGGCTAGTTGTATTTCTTGCTGTATTTTGAATCATTGGTTCAAAAAATCAACATGTAATTGTCAGGGCAAGGTAGATATGTGGTGAAGATGAGGACAGATGCATGGAGGAGCCTCCGTGATACTAAATTGTGAGAAAGAGAAGGAAAAGGACTCGTTTAACTGAAGTGATAAAAGAAGGAAAAGGAATCGTTTAATTGAAGTGATAAAAGAAGAAAATGATGTGAGAACATGATAGAAATCATCAAGAACTACAACATTTAGTGTTCTAAATCGATAGGAATGGCCAAGTGTGAGAACCTTGCAATTCAAAGATTAATCTCTTGTGGATGTCTTTGTGGTTATCTGAGATATTGGGTGGAACAAAGGTGCAGCAGGAGTAGCGTTGATCCCCACTATGAGATGCGTACCACTACCACATATGTGGTGTGGATCGTCGAAGGGCTTCACGCCACACAGGTAGTGAAACAGAGGATCTGAACAGAGGAGCAGCTAATCTGCAGTTGCAGCACAAGCAGAAAAGTAAGTGGGCGCCTCATTCCTGGAAGATAAATCCTCTGGAAATTAATAATATACTATACATAGTAAACCTTATGTCAATCTATTGTCCATAATAAAAAATAATTAAAGAATCTTATATAACATGAAGGACATCGTCAATCAATCGTATCAAACATATAACCTCCATACGCTAGAAACATGAGATAAAAGACTACTACCCCTCCCTCCCCCCCCCCCCTCACGCCCCTCACCTGTCTACTTACATGCACAAGAGTCGAAAAAATATTTAGAGAAAAAATTAAAAAAAAATTGTTGAAGATAGTTAGTGATAGTCTCCTTGCATAATATTTCACAGAATATTTTACCATTATGATTAGGTATAAAAATTTATCTTTAATAAAATAAAAAATAATAATCACTTTTAATCACTTACGTCCACACTCACCTACCTTAGATTACTAACTTGGAAGTCACAGGGATCGAGTCAAGAAACCTCTCTCGACCTCAGTCTTTGTATAGGTGGCACCTTAGGAGCTAGGCATTTTCACCTAATAAACACATTGGACAATCCTATGTACATGAGTCCAAACTATGTTGGGTTGATCAGGACCTCAACAATATCTTCTCGTAATATTTATAGTGCTAGAAGGAGTACTTGATGCTTAAAAATGTTTGCCTATCAAACTTCTCAATGAACACTCAAACGAAAAGACTTTGCCTCATACCTATAATACTTTAACCCAAAAGGATAATAGCTACCCTTTTCATATATATGTATATTTACCTTAGCATAAATGCTGATGTGATATTGGCGTATATTCGATAACCTAGGTCTCTCACCCCTAGGGATGATCCTAAGCCAACCACTTATCTCCGCTGAGGTGTTCTTAAATCTCACTTAGCAAGTACAGATGCTAATAGGTATGATACAAACCATCACTCCATTTTTATCCCAATTAGCCTAACAAACGGCACCACTAGCTTAGTCATAGTCCCCGACTCAATGACCACCAGCATTTGTCGAGGTTCCCTGACCTAATGTGGTACTAACATCCCAAGAGAGAGCACTCGGTCTTCAATCATGGAATTCAATAAACCACACCACCACTGTACCATGCTTGAATCCGAGGCCTAGTTAACGGAAGATTTTTATGGATCCAATTATGATAGATAAACTGACATTTGAAGGAGATATGATTAGTGCTTTAATAATCAAAGGGGAAAGCGCTGGCTGATCCCACCTTGGGTCTGTTGGCGACCACTTAGAAAATCTAAGAGGAACCAATTTCAACGAACTTTCATCTCATTTCCTTGGAGGCTTTCAATGATAGTGCCAATCCAATAGAGCATATTAAGAGACCCAACATAAGAATGGTACGCCCCGCTTAACTCCATTTTTCATCAATTCTTTTACCCAACTTGTGAGAGAGTTCAAACTTTTTTTCTTTGGAAGAATATGCTCGCGGTCTTTAATAACAACACTCCTCAAACTCAAGCAAGGGAGGAAGAGACACTTATAGACTTCCTCGCTTAGTTCAGGAATGAGATCTATGGTGTGGTTGATGCCCATCTATCACTCATAATATAAACGTTTATGATGAGACTCAAGTCATCTCATCTCTTTGGTTATTAATAGAGAGACCACCAACAACTATACCTAAGGTATTCCAAAGAGTCAATCAATATAATATCACTTAAGTAATAGTTTTGAGCAAGTGTGAGGAGTAGCATAGGAGATAAAAGCAAGAGCAGCTACAATCAGCCATGACCTTGAGCTCATTGTGGTAGAGGAGAAATGAATAACCTAAGTTATCTCGCCTAAGGTCTAAGCTGACCTCTCTAAATATGACTAGAAATAAGTTTTTCGATAGATAAAAGAGAAGAAGCTTTTAAAAGACTCTTATCTAATAAAGACTCCATTGGCGAAAAGAGACAAGTCTAAGTATTGTTATTCCAATGGGATACGATCATGATATAGAAGATTGTTGCAACTTGAAAGAGCATATTGATGAGCTCATATGTTGGGGACACCTCGGGTGATTCATTAGCATCGGGAACCCTCACCTCGACCTTAGGGGTCGATGAAGAGGTAAATTGATGTCATCATTAGTAGACCTGCTTGGGGGGGAGGCATAGCTCCTCGGGTCATAAGAGTTATGCCCAAGCTACCACTAAAAAATGCTTGAGGACGAAGAATGACCTAGGGATAACCTTCAAGGAGGAAGAGATAAAGTATCTCGATATGAATTATGATTATACCTTAGTGGTTTCTATGAGAATTAAAGAAGGAAGAGGTAGAGTATCTCAACTTGGATTATGATGATGCATTGGTGATTTATATGAGGATGATTAATGCTCAAGTAAAGAGGGTCATGATTGATGTAGGTAGCTCTACTGAAATTCTTTACTTTGATACTTTATAAAAACTTAGGCTACCAACTAACGATCTTACCTTTATAACTTATTTGTTGATGAGATTCATTAGTGACTCTATCTCTCCTCTTGGGATTGTAAACCAGCACATCACATTCAAAGACGAGCCTTACTCCAAAACATTATTAGCTAAGTTCATAGTGGTGGATATCCCCTTGGAGTATAATGAGATTATAGGTCGATTCACACTAAATAAATTAAGAGTTGTGGTGTCGACCTATCACATGATGATGAGGTTTCCGATGAGGGCCAACATTAGAGAGTTGAGAAGCAACCCAAGGGAGTCATACTAGTATTACCTAATGGCGATCTCCCTACCGAAGAAGGCTCGACCTAAGATGCCACCTATAGACCTCTAAGACTTCGCCAACTTTATCTCTCATCCTAAACTAATGGAGCCACTGATTAAAGTGCCCTTAGATAAAGCCCAACCTGATCGAACTATTAGGGTTGAGGCAACACCTCTCGAAGAAAAATGGGTGCAACTCATTAACTTTCTTCGAGAGAATGCTAAAGTCTTTGTGTGGTCACTAAGAGGTATGTCGGGAATCAACCCCAATGTAACTTTACATCACTTGAACATTTCTCCTAAGGCATAATCAATAAAGGCCTTGTAAAGATTGGTGTGTAAAAACCCGCGAAAACGAAAAACTACGCATATAAGAAAGTTGTGTTACCTAGAGAGATCATATATCCCTAAATTCTTACAAAAATATGAGAGAAAATTAAGGAGGTCAACTATCTTCCTCTTTAGTGGTGATCCACATGGCAAGAGCTACGAAGATGCTCTTTAAATCACTGCTCAAATTTCCTTACTACGCGTACCACACAATCAAGAAGGGGTTGACTATTCTTGCTATCCACATGCCCCAAGCAGGGATTGCTAGTTGAGGAGAGGGAGAGAGTACAATAGAAGCTAGCAGTCAAATGGGGTTTGACCTATAGCCCTTGGTTCCCTCATATTTATAAAAGCCTAATATTAACTTAACTTTAATGGATCATATTCTATTGGGCATTGGATCTCTATCCAACTACCCAAGATCCAATAATCAGGGGCTTATCGGATATCTAATAAGATAAAGGCTCTAATGAATAACCTTAACACCTACCATATGTGTATGACTCTCTAAGCCTAATATCAATCTGGTCATGAGTCATACCTATCAGAACTCTTTCTAACTCAGTGAATTATCATCTCCATAATAATTTACTAAACTCATTGACTAAAGACGTACTAGGCCATTACGCTAAGAGAATCCAATTCATTAGATATATTTATCCTCGGTTACCATATATCTATAGTCCCTCATCCATCTAATATCTCAAAGATTATATACCGGGCAAGGTATTATCAAGTCATATGATTTCTACTTAAGTCTTGCTCTAATCAGATTCTCCTAGAGAACTCTTTCTCTCTCAATCTGAAAGACCCTGGCCGGGGATTTGCTTGAGTAAGAACACGTGAAATATTCATCTTATGACACCGAGAGAGAATGATCCTCTATCGATACTCAATTACCTTCGTAAGGTTGGATGTCACTCTTGGTGATAGGTTGGGAGTATCAAAGAGTGGAGTATTTATACAGTACATCTTTGGTATCTCAAGTCTAAGGACTAGATACACTACTGGGATGACGGAAGCACTATCTGACAATGAGATATCATCAACTATCAAGCATTTTGTGAGGGGATTAATCAATGAACTCATTATCTAATGAGCATCTGCACTATATCCCTAGTATCCTTATACAAGCAACTATAAGACCAGCTGCCTCCATCATATGAATGGGTATATAGCACACTAGTCTATCCGGTTATCTCAATGCCCCTCTCGGGTAACCTATGACTACGATTATTTAGGATTTATTTTTAAACATAAATCAGTCTCATTATCGTGATCTCATCACAATCTAATTTTCATTGTATAGATATATAGACATCATAATATATATAATAGGTAATATAAAGTAAAAAAAATATCAAACATATAATAAGCAAAAAGACTTTATATCATGTTACACGTATCATCACTCACATGATTGGCTTGTAGAGTACCTATGACTAGTAATCTCCCACTTGACTTAAAGTCAATCACCAACATTTCTGATCCCCATCAAACCCCTATGACTCTT